AGGAATACAAGGGGATATGTCGTAGAAAAATATATTTATAGAAAATAGTTTATCTAATAATGATAATATGTATGGGTTTTGTACAATGATTAATATTATTTACTTTTTACATACTATAGAGATTTCTGGTATTTCATCAAGCTAAGGATAGTTCTTTTAAAAGAGGTTTTACTTTCAGTTGTAATAAGAATTTTAGTTGATTGCCTGTGCTGGCACTTATACCTACCTGTATTTTTGGATATATGATTTTTATTAAAAAATAATTTATTTATGTCATAAAAGGTTTAATTTGTCAATAAGTTAACATCTATATAAAACATACAACTACATAGTTATTTTTTGCAAAATATATTTTTATAATTTCAATGATTTCATTATTTAAATATTTACTGCCCAGCTAAGTTTCGTTATGTCAAAATTTGTTATAGAAAGATCATATTTTTTTGAATGCTAAAATTACAGTCAAACAGTTTTCACTTGAATGAAAATTCCATAAAAATGCGCTGTTGTCAATAAAATTGACTTTGATAATTTAGGTACTACATCAACTGTTTGACAGATAGTTAAATTGAAATTATTTGAAAAGAAAGTGATGTTTTTACGATTAGCCATACAATTTCCGATATTATTTTTTATAAAATCATTATTTAGCATAAAAATCTTCAGTAGGCTTTAAGGATCATACAAAAAAAATCCCAATTGGTAGAGTTTTCAAGTTAAAATATTATTTATACATTTATAGATTGCGTATAGTGGTTGGAAGTTTTGTAGGACTAACTAATCTCTACCCCTAATCTTTTAAATGTAAAATTTGAATTGATTTTGCCACAATCGACTAACACCAAAAATGTAATGCTCTTTGAGTTATCGGCGCTCGTCGTAAAGGTGCAAATTTCTAAGATCATTGTAGAAAGAAGTAAGAGTATGGAAAAAAAAAAATAGCAACTAGTGTTTGCGTCACGTATATTCATTTAAATAAGACTGTTTTGTGTGACTCTATTTTTCGAAATTTCTGAAACAATTATACTGTTTATAATTTAAACTTTACGAATATACCGTCCAGTAGTTCTTGTGTGTAAGAGTAACAGATATCCACCAGACGTATATAACCTTCTTATGTATTATATTAATAGGGTAGTAGAATACGTGTTACTATACCATATTATGTCTATTTATTGTTCATTTTTGACGTGATAACGTCTTTAAAATCGTTTTAGTCAGGTGACATGTTCAGAAACTTGTGTCACACCAAAACCTCACGAGCGCGATCGCAGGTATAACGAGAGAAAGACGGACCGATCTCCCGTCTCATCTCGAGCGCTGCCAGTCATTCCGTGAAACTTGTCACGCGGAATCCTCACGAGCGGAGGCAGGCATAGCGTTCGAGTGAGTGGACCGATCTTCCGTCTCTCTCACTCTAGCGGCATACAAACGAATGGAGATTTTCTCGTGCGGTTAAGTTTTCGTTGAATGTTTAACAGAATGTTTAACTTGTCATTTGACACCCGAAATTTATCATCAAAAGTGTGAATAAAACGATAGATGTAATTTAAAATTTGAAAAAAAATTTTATCTTCATTAATTCCTTACTTCCCAAAAACTTATATCACCAATAAGACGTTATCACGTAAACATCTCCATCGTAAACCTACTTTACAAACAACCAATTTTTTTTTATAATAACTACATATATCGTCGTTAACTTCATTTCCTTCATGTCACTATATCTCTATCAGCCTCGCATTTTTGATATTTTTCCTAACATTAAAGACCCATGAGTTACTACAAATTTAACTATAACCAAGAACGTTTCAGAATACCTACGTTGGATAGATGTATTTGTGTAAACTTAAATACATATGTGTTTCAAGTCACAAAAATATTCATAAAAATATTTTAATAACATTATAATATATATATATATATATATATATATATATTTAGACTTAAGTCTCAAAACAATATTTTTATAAAGAGAATCTTAATTCTTTAAATAATTTTAATCTTGTTCGATTGAAACAAAGTAATAAAATAACATTATAATTTATAACATATCCTCGCCATCTTCCTCTCTGTTTTTTTCTTCTTGATAGTCATAAGATATGTTCTTGGGGAATCTTAATCTTCTTACAAGTGAAATTACGTCAAAAAAATATGCTCTCTGTTTACTACTTGTTGTATTAGAATAAAAATTCTAGAGATTAAGGAAAAAATAATTTTAATATTCTAATAGCAGTGGTCTCAGAGTTAAAAGTTACTCAATTTAACGTATTTATTCTTTTGAATGGGAGAAAGTTGACAAACAAGTTTCTGTAAAGTATATACAATACAATAATATTAACAATTGAAAGCTATAAAACAATAAACTTAAAAAACATCCTTGTAATAAGTATACATACATACAGCCTAAATAAGGTGGAATCTTAACAATAATATTTTTATATTTTAATTATTTATTATAATATTGTTATTTAGACTATTAAATACTAAGCTCATAGTTTAATATTAACATTGCTTCTAACAACATTATCACTTATAATGTACCGTTATAACCGTATATATTACGATATATTATTGTTTATAATAATTTTAATTAAAGTGAAAGTAGTTTAGATCTGGTTCTCGATGGTATAAAATATAAATTTAACACGGTATCGGTCAATCAGGTAGTCAACGAGTAAGCGACTGCAGAGCCCCTAACTTGTAATTTGAATAATAGCATTAAGTTTAACAACGAGTCGCATAGATGGCGCTAATATACAAACATCTCAACATTGGCGAGTTGATATAAAGAATTTTTCAGCTCTATATTATATTAGTTACAAAATTACAAAATATTACGAAAAATTACAGTAAGACCAACGGCAAAATTAATATAAATTCCTTTAAGATTACAATGAACCATAATAAAGTTAGTCTGCAAGTATTTCAAACCACATTTTATAAAGACAAGAAATTCTTGTTTTCTATATTTCTGTAGGGATAAGTGGGATTCTTAGGTTAGTCAGGACTCGTTGCTTTTACTTATGAATATAAAATATTTTATGAAATAGACTTTATATTTAATTAAACAAATTCCTGTTATGATGTCGTGAATAATCTCGTTCAATAGTAATTGAAAAGGAGGAATGTGTGTCGTGAGTTGTTTGACAACATCGTTCTGTATGGGATTCATTAGCTTTCAAATAATATATGTATGCGTCGACGTATTTGTAATCCCTTTTGAAATTTATACAATTGTGGCTCGTGGAAATTCTACCATTATTATAATGGCTGAATAGTCATATGAAGGTGAAATAAAACACTGATTCCCTTAAATTGATTTATTTAATACTGTAACAAAACAATCACTACTTTTTCGAAAGGCGGACGCCACTTCAAAAAATATTACATAGGAATAATGTTCTTAAAATAAGAAAAACCTTAATATTTACGTGTTAAATATAATTACGTTGCAGGTTCTATTTGTTAACTCGACAGTTACAGTAGATAAGTTTTACAAAAGATTACTCAATGAATTGACACACAAAACCATCTTGCTAACTATTTTTTTTTTATATTTGTTGTTTTGTATCTGGACATAACATTTTTCGGCTCCGCCGCAATTGAACAAACATGGGATGATGTACTTGCACTAATTTAAACATAATATATTTCTTAGGTTTATCAAATGAAATGTTTCTATTGATTTATAATATTTCTCGCGGACCGAAAGAATTTTGGACTTAAATCGCAAAATAGAGTTTGTTATATTTAGAGCAATTACTAAAAAAAAGTTCTAAAGGAAATATTACAAATTAAAAGAACATTTTATATGATAATCCTATATCTCAAGTATATTATTATTTTGTTAATTAAACAATAATATACATGGTAGGATATTTTACAGTAACTTAACTTCGGTGCATAAATTACGTACTACTCTAGGCAAAAGGACCCATATGGAGAATTTTCATCACCTTATACAAATCATGTATAAAAATACATATAATTTAAAACACAACAATATACATCAGCATGCGTCAATACCTATCACAAGGTACGTCATACATATACATATAACATATAAAAGTGCTTCATAGCTTTCCTATTGTTTAAATTGGTGTCGATATTAAAATATTAAATTAAATTTTTTATTCTAAATCTCAAAGCCAACATATATTTGGTATTTTTCATAAATTTTAAGTTACTAATAGCAGTCATGTCCAATGATCCAACGTGGCAGAGATAACTTCAAAGACAAAATATTTTCTTAAAGAATTTAATATATTTTGATTGGTTTGTGTCATACATTCGTAGTTGTAAAATTTTATGCCAAATGATAAAATAAAACTATTTATTTTCATTATCACAATTCGTGTACCTAACAAACGTCAACGCAAGCTTTATCATAATAATACACATTATATTTATATATGTATATAAATGTTGTCCTCACTTTATAAGTAACATTACATTTTATTGGCTAGTGTAATCAGTCACTCGACCATACAAAATATGTAAATGCTTTCAGTATGCCTTCATCACATGAACAGTTCTATAATAAAATTCAAAAGAATCCAAAATATTTCATATTGTTATTCGTTGTCAACATCTAATGAAAGTATTACTTTAAATATTTTTATATAAGTAGATACTAGATAGCAATGATAATAGCTCTCACGTAACCTAATATTTTATCACATTTCGATAATGCACTAGAAATTTCTCACACATGTATAAAGTTGGATATCTACATTAGCTTACATCTATGGCTACAGAGATTCGGGGCTAAATATAATAATAATAAAACACAACCCGCTTCGCGCAAACTACCATTTTTATTGGGTATAATACTAATAAAAGAAAAATACTAACAGTCGAGCCTCCAAGAACTCGCCGTTACTAGAAACTCTAAAAGAATACTTTAATATGATATAATGAAACTAAAAAGCAAATTACACATAAAACTTAGCCCTTATAAACCCAATTTGAGCCTTAATCTATCTTAGTCTTTCGGGTTAGTCTTCACCCTTGATTATATCTAAAATACTAACATAGGAACCTGTGAGGAAGCCGAGGATGCCGAAGCAGATTAAGAACATGTTCTTCCAGAGGACCCAGTTGAAACGACCGAGACCATTGGGGCGGTCCCAGAAGGTGACGGTCTCGATGACGGCTGGGAAGATGAGACCCAGGAAGGAGAGGCAGACGGCGCCTACCAACGAGATGAACGGGCCCAGGTTGGGGATGGCGACCGCGGTGCAGAGGGTCATGATGACGATGCCGATCCTGATGCTGTACTCAGCGATGTTCTTCTTGGAGCCGAACATGTGACGCACGTTCTTCCAGATGATTTCCATGGGCACGTAGAACTGAAGACTGTACGTGAAGAAGATGGCAACGGCGATCATCAATTTCACACTCTGGCCCAACCTAAAGATTTGTAAAAACATATTTACATATAATTTACACTAAAATAAATAATATTTTGAAAGAATGTTATGTTTTAAAAATAAATGAAAATGAAAAAGACGTTGTTTCTTGTAGCAAACACGTAACTTAAAAAGGAAATCTTTAAAGAAAGAGAAACAACCAATCGTATGCCCTACTTATTATCATACATTAAAAACAAACATTTTTTTTTTTATATATAATTTTTCCATTACAAAATATTATACGTATATAAAAGATAACTTACACTTCGTCTTGGGGCAAGTTCAATGTAATACTGGCTCCAGTTGCATCTCCGTATTTGAGGTATCCTGAGAATCCTACAATAGCATAAAGGGAAACTACGAAGAACATGCCAGTGTTCAGGACTCCGGGGCAGCCGATGAAGTGAGTGGGAGTCTTCATGTTATTCTCGAGTGGCATCACGACACCGATACCTTCAAGAGCGAAAATAGCGGTTCCAAAGAAAGTAGGAAGGCGCTCGAATCCAGCGAAGGGTTTACGATCACTGATGCTTGGAATATCTTGGTAGAGGTAATAAAAGGTGATGCCCATGCCGGTTCCGACTAAAAGATTCGCAATCATGGAGAACGGCGCCAGATACTTGAGATTCCGAATGAGGTTCATTGCAATGAGGAACGGCAGTAACGCAACCATGTATATACGCAGATCCAGGTCGTGGTGGAGCCAGTCACTTTTCTCGGCGTAGAAGTCTACCACTTGCTTAACGTTTGTTGATATAAATACGATGTAGACGCAGCAACAGCCCAATAAGTCTACTACGAGGAACCAATTTATTATAGCTCTGTAAATGAGAAGAGAGGGTTGTGAAATAAATCCGTGAACTACTGTTATTTATAAGAGTTGAATATTATAGTTGTATATTAACTTACTTGGCGAGTCTCGAAAATTTATGCACAGCTGGCGGTCCAGATAAGAACGCGGCCTCCGCAGTCTCTGCGAATCCTAGCGAGGGTTTTTGTATCCGCTTACAGAGTTCGTGAGACGTTTTGACCAACACGTGGACGCAGTACGTGCAAATGCCACCGATAAGGAAGGTCGCCACTAGACCAAAGTAGAGACCGGCGTTCATGAAGGCCATGGGCATGGCCAATATACCACTGCCCAATGATCCCTTGAGCAAGTGGATAAGAGTATCCATGTCCCTATAAGTGATGAATAAATTGATGAAAATAGTTTTCTAAAATCTCTCTAATATAGTATAAGAACGTATTGGTACTATTCCAATATACTTACGAGGTGGGGTGAGCCAGTTTTCTGTGGTCGAAGGGGTTATAGTCCTCGTCCGCCTCAATATCCCGACCGGGTATTTCCATGAGAGGGAGGGTCGAGCCCGCCTGTTGTTCCACCGGAATCTCATTTGGATCAACTTTGTACCTGTGGGTCGGCGTACAGTACTGTTATAGAAAACGCTACTATCGACTGTCGGAGCAAACCAAATATGATGTAGGTTAACAGTGAGTGGGTATAAAAGTGTAGTTTAAATTATTCACTAACTGATTTCAAGCATAGGAATGTAATGGTAGCCTGTAGTGATAACACATAAAGCGCCACATTTCAAGCCTGAAAGAGGTTAACCGATCCGAGTGTAGGTGATACGGTGTGTAGTCGCGCGCGGAACTTAGTATTAACTTGTGGCAACCTTCTATTATACGCGAACATCAAACTATTCATTTATTTGTTAGTGGAACATGTGTAAGTGTTTATGGTGAAGTGTGATACATTCATTATGGTCTCCAAAATGTAAAGATTTTTTTTGTCTAAGTTGCGTTTAACTCTGTTAAGCCTCGGCATTTACAAATATTAGGCCCAACCGTAAAATTTAATACAGCTTCACGTTTAATGTCATATAATATGTTATAATTTAAATTTTGAAAGTATTAATAATAATGACTTTATTTGTAACTTGTGCAGTTTCATATCAACGATATTTAAGAATGTTGGTCGAATGGTTGCTAGTGGACATAAAGCTAGATCAAATTTGTACAAATGTCTTGATGATTGAGAGCCAATCCCGGGCCTTAACAGAGATGACGCAGGGAGGTGGCCGGCAGTCCGATCAGAGGTCGGAGGTGCTCATGCCGCGTCCCTCGGGTAACCATATTCATTCATAATAATTACCAGAACCAAATAAATAATATAAACAAAATTGAAACCATAAAATGGAATGATGTACCGGTGTATGAGTCCATTGCAAGATGATCAAGGTCGACGAACGACTTTAATCTGGTGGAAGCAGCTCACGTCTTCCCGGATCACGTCTCCGAACGGCGTCGGGCGTAAATATTAGCTCGCAATAAGGAGCGAGTACTTAACAGTCAACATACAATATAAAATACCATTTTAACGATAAAACATATCAATAAGAACAATGATCGGGTCTAAGGCGCCCGCGTGTGACAGTTTAAAATGGATAACAACGATAACATTTCATATAACTTGATACTATAGGTAGGTATATATAATAATGTCTTTTCAATGTCCTGTTGAACAAAAATGTCAATATTATTACAGTATTTCCTTCCCTTTCAACTATAATCCAATGTTAAAACAACTTGCCAATAATATAATATAAAGCTGTGAAGCATGCTCTTGTCGTTCTTACAAGCGGTATAACACAAAATGAATCAGATCAAACTGAAGAGAAGTTATTATTTACACACTGGCTGTTAAAGCTGATAGGTGATCACGTGATCGGGGCTGAGGATGCTCCGGGAGGTAAATGTATCACTTACTTGACCATAACGACATCTGACAAGTCATTTTTGACTCCTTTTCTCTTAGGATCATATTCGGCTATCATCGGCCGCAGTTGTGGTTTCTGGAACAAAACATTAATATATTAATGACATTAATCATCATATAGCTCTTTTTATTACGTAACAGTAGATCGCATCGTCATGTTTGTTTTGTACAAGTGTCGCCTGTACGTAATATTCGCAGCATCCCGTCTTCATGTTAATGGTGACGCAGATCTTAGGGGCTCGCTGGACGGGTGCCGCTTCGGCCATGTGACGTGAATGCTATTTCGGGCCTCTATAAATACCCGACGCTCCAGCCCGATACAAACAGCACGCGAAATACGCGAAACGAACATTTTCAATTACATCTCGGCAATCTTGTCATTAGTATGTTTATGTGTGTTATTATTGTGATGTCAAATCTTTGCTTAATTGACGTAGATTGTTATGTTATTGTCCAAGTCATTTCCGTGTATTTAATTGACAAATATGATTTGGAAAACAAAAACGAAGAACCCCTTTTTAAATCAAAACGACCACCAGGTTCAAATAAACTAAGCAAATTTTCTAAGAAACAAAGTGGAATTATGGAAAATATGTTTTAGTTGAAGAAAGTACCTTTTCTGTCTAAACCTTATACGAACTTTGTTTTTAAACACAGTGTCAAAAAATATTCAAAAGAATATATTTGAATCTGACTAAAAACGATGACTTAATATGATTTAGTGAGTAATATCTGTAGGATCAGATAATATAATTTAGCGGTCATTAGGTTTATAATGTGAATATCGTGCCAGTAAATTAAACAGCTTAGTATTATCAAATTTAATAACTATATAGATAAGCGAAGTAACAGTGAAATATATTTTTTTAAATGAAACTAAATATACTACAGATATATATAAATAAATGATATTAATTTAAAGTTTTTAATGTTTAATAATGACTCAACATTCATGCGTTTATGGAGCACGTTTAATGTATTGCGTTTTTCATCAAGGGTTGTTCGGTCCCCTCGTACCCTCGTATTCGCACTTCTGACGCACGACATACTTTACACGCTTTGTATTCAACCCGTTTGATTCCCCCTACTTTGTACAACTAACCGGTCGCCTTAGACATACTATTTATATATTTAACAATTTTGAACTCTAAATTAAGAGGTTAAGAATTCATATTGTATCGCGAGCTTGATAATCGATGGGTATGAACCGCCATGAACTGGTTATGAATGCTTCGGGGATCACCTGTCCTCAGCGAATACTCGCTTCCCTTGGAAAAGCTAAGTATATGGAAATTTTAATATAAGAACACACCTATCACTAAATATTTTATAATACCAAACAAAACTGCAATATTAATTCATTCCATCGGAACCCCTTGAGATGTTTCACAGTGGTAGGTATATTCCTACATTGAATATTATAATTCGTAACAAGACATTCAATAAGTGTTTCTGAGACTGTGGACAGCCGCTGTTGTTTGTGATTGTTAAATATTTGTTCTCTATTTATAAATAATGTCCACAAGTGATGGCACGACCAGATAAATAGTTCGCCATATTGTCCGGACCGTCACGAGCCGCTAATAACTAATATTACTTTAGATCTCTGACGACACGAGAGCCTATTGTTTGGACAAACGATGCGCATTTGATTTGAATTGACTCCCAAGGTCACCTCCGAATATTATTTATATCAACTCCGAAGACACGCCTTCCTACGTCCGCTGTTTGTGGTCAAAGATTTTAAATAACCTCAACAATTATTATTGATATGCGCCATTTGCAATATTGAGTGAGATACGTGTATATGCATATATTGTACGTATATAGTGTGGCTAGTAGTTATAGTTTATAATAGACTTTGGTACTAGGGCGCGATAAGCTCGAGGAGGTGTGTCCAAAGCTCTGCTCTAAACGACAGATCAATGTATGATGAAATGCAGATATCACGTATATTAAAGAGCGACGAGTACCTGCATACGGAATGAAATTGAAAGTAACATGCGCATTGCAACCCTCTCAGCCCCTCCTGGATGTAGGTTCTATCTCCTTCATGACCTAAGTTTACCTGTGTGATGGAAAGGGAACCTTATTTCAGCGCGCGCTGCATCAAAGCGCATGCAGTTCGGTCTCCTTCACACTCATGAAATCCTGGTAGAACGAATGCATTTTTTTGCAAAATCTCTTCTTTTGGTCTACTTCAAAACGTACAAAATTTTAAAATGCAATTTTCGCAAGTGGAATTTTGAGTTTACGATGCTTCTGTTCTCATTCACAAGTAATTTTTTAGTTTTTCTTGAAGCCAAAGTGCAGCGAACGCATCGAAAGCACCAGGAGCGGATGAGTTATGAGAAGTCTTTACTTTCTCGTATCAACTTGCATCATTTACTGCAAGGATCAGGTCTAGATGCAACTGACACGTTGGCAAATCAACAAATTTGCGGTGCCGTTTGATAAACACATTGATAACATATTTATGATGAAAAATCATAATAATTTATTTTACTGCTAATAAAACCAAATGATATGCATTGCTGTGTAAAACAAAATGGTTTTAATATTAGTTTCAGTTGCAATAAAATTTTCATTTAAAAATTGTAAATTTCACTTACGAGTATATATAAAATACTGATAAATATTAGGATATGTTAATAAGAGACGTTTAAGGGTTGACGTGATTAGAAAGGAGGCGATTAGTTTAATAGAAAATGACGCTGTTAAAAATGAAAAATATGTTTTTTGTATATTTACTTGAAAATTATTTAGGCTTATTAGGTTCATATTATTATGCTGAAGTGAAATCACAGAAATGATGAATAAGATTGATATAGGTATCCATTTTTTATTTTTATTGATTTAGGTGTGCACTTTACGGGCGTGCATTCTGAGCATGCGTGATGCCCGGGCTGCATTCAGCTCGGTCCCGCGTCAGGTACCAGGGCTCCTGAAATATCTAGGCGTTTACAAGACCTAGTGCGCAGGAAACTGCACATGCGCTTTGAGCTACCAGCCTAGATAACCTAGGTATTGAACTGATTCTAGTCCGAGCCTACCAGGCGGCGAGGAATCAAAGGAGCTCGCGTGTCTGGTGAGTTTGCGCGGGAAGGGGAGTTTTAGTCAGCCTGCATCCCTGATGTACTAATGTACTGTTCTCGTCTCTCGTAAATTTTGATTATATCGCCCGAACTCTTATTGCTCTAAAGTTATAAAGTGAAAGCTGAAAGTGAAACCCGTCCCGACGTCCCTGGGCGGGTAGTTTTATTCTGAAGGTAAGAGATGATTTTAGTAACCCCGTCTGCATCTCTTGCACGCTGAATGTTCTCTTCACTATATACTCACTTGTTACATGTTGTATTACGCTACGTTGTAGTTTACAAAACATTCGTATACAAATATTTGTAATCACAGTCAACTACATCTCCGTCGTACCTTTGAAAGGCCCACCTCCGCAAAATTATTTATGTAACAGAAAACCTAACTTGGCACGCCATCAACTTTAATATACATATATAATACATGTATGTATATAAGAAAGAAATTCAAAATTTGACATTGTTTGTTCCGTCAATGTCCCCGTGATATGTAGTCAAAGAACGCTAATTAATCACTTACAACATGAACCACGCACTCTCTTCAGATAAGGATAAATCGATACTAACTAACTGTCTTTGCAGAACTGAGATTCTGTTTTGTATTATCACGTTCATGATCATTCGATCATTAATACTGTATCAAGCTTTGACATCCACGCTTCTGGACACATCTTCGAAAACATGAATGAGTTCATGATCTTTACGGCAAGCTATTTGATTATGATTCAGATTACTTGTTGTACGTCATGAAGCGGCTGATAAATGGGGCTCTTTATTCCATTTACACTAATAAAGCTCGGGAAACGTTCGCAGTTCATGATATATGTATATTTATAGTGATCGAAAACAATATCATCTTTGTAGGTAGGTCGTCATGCGACGCTGGTTTCGATTCTTAACAATGTCTTGTTACGTTTTAGCAGAGATTGTACCGACCTTCATCTGACTCAAGGGCATCTCGCCACGTTAGATTAATGTAAGGCAGTACATATCATGTGTCGTCTGAGTGACGTAGGTGTGATTAAGTCCTCAGCCGTCGCAAGTTGATCGGATGACGGATAAATGGAGTTCCCAGACATCTTGCTCTATATTGATGATTGTGAGAAATTGGTGTATCCCATTGCGAATAGCCAGCGATAAGTGTCTGAGCCGGATCACAGTGATTTAGCACTTGGGGGCCGCGAGGGTCGCTCATCATTTACTCCTAAAGACCTCGACTTCCTCGTCATAAGTGTTTACCGACTACTGGTGGGCCTTATCTTGTTTAAACTACAAACATCACTCTACTATGATATATTTTTAACATAATTTCAGCTGTAAACATATTAAACAGTCTATTTTCACCAACATCTATAAATCATGGACAAACCTCACATGTCATGGTATTGTTGAAAACTTATTTTCAATGGTATTCCTGGATCACTTCCAATATGTTAAGCTCAGTTCCATTTTCAAACAATTAAGCGATTGCCAAAAAGGTTTTTTTTTGGGTAAAGACTTTAGTCTTTGGATTGCCATTTTCGTGATATAAAATAGTAAAAGTAAATAATTTAAAGGATTATTATAAAATCAATGAACTACGGACGTTTGATGTTTGTTTTAAAATACTTAAGAGCTATTTTTGGTTTCAAAACTGAATAAAAAACTCAAAATTGTATTCTAGCCGCTACTTTGGGAATAAGGAAACAAGTCTTTTTATCTTTTACACAATTAATTCTAAATCAATCTAATGAGGATAAAACAGTTCAATAAATATTTCTAATTTAAAATTCAGTTATTCAAGGAATGCTATTGCGTGGGTAGTTTAAGACTAAAAGTGGCCATTTTATCTTATACAAATATTTGCATGATTCTTAAAAATTATCATCAAAGATTATGATTGTGATAACTATTCACAGTTATAAATGGCTGACGTTATATTTTAAAAAACTAACAAATTAAAAACGATACGTAGTCTGAGAAGAGGAATTTGAAGAGTTTGTTTTTGGAAAAC